TATTTTAAAGAGTACTTAGCAGAAATATTAAGCAACCTAATAGGGTTGCAAACTCCAGCAAAAAAAAAAAAAAAAAATAGGGAACCACCCCCACCCTCCACCTCGTGATGCTTAATCGACGTAATCAACTTTAATTTGATGCAGTGTGGAAAAAAAATGCACCGAAATAAATGATTTTTCAAGAATAATTAAATAGATTCAACATCTTTCTTCAACAGAACTGCAGACTGCACAGATGGTACCTTCCCAAAGGAAAAAGTACTATAGCTTACTAGGATATATTAGACTTAATAGTTACTATATACAGTAATGGACTTCTATACATTTTACATCAGATTAAAACTTTGGGTGTAAGATTCTGATAATTATTTATTAAAAGCTAGGTATTTTAAATGAGAATAAGAAAGAAAAGTATGTCTTTGTGCCCCCTTTTCCCCGTTAATGCCCTATCGGCCCCCCTGGCTAAACTTTGCTAGATCCGCCCCTGCACAGTTACCAGCGTCAGCTACGTAGAAAATGATCCTGGTGTAGAAAGTAATATTAAATAAATTCTAACAACAGATTATCAAGCTTAAACGTGCTGCAGTTGTTCAGCCGCTGGTTTCCTCTTTCTGGTGCAAAGTGGGCCAAAAACAAACAAGAGAGACGGACTTGCAACAAAAAAGCCGATCAGCTGATCATTGATCAGTTTCACGACAGGAGAGGGAAGGAGAGAAGAGGCAGTTGCTCCATATATCGGTTGTTAAGCTTAACGTGGAAATGCTTTACAAACATTCAGAGATGAACTTACACACTTGCTTTACTTCTCTCTGGGATAACTTCCTCGGAGATGAAATGCCGGATTGCTAGCGAGGCTACAAATACACGCAGCGGCTCTATCACGTGAGGGGTACTGCTGCTGCGTGCTATGGTTATGAGCCGAGTTTTGTGAGGTGCTTTTTTGATATTTAATGGATCGGATTACATTTTTTATTTCTCTCCGATATCCGATCCAGTAATTTACGTCAGTATCGGACCGATACCGATACTTAATATCGGATCGGTCCATCTCTAATACATACATCAGTATTTATATGACAATAAATGAGGAAAAGCATAATAGCGTAATGTTGTTTAAAGCTGAGTATTTTATGAATATAAATGAAGGTGGTCTGGTTTGTTTTCTTTATTCACAACCAGCTACAGCAACACATTATATTGACTGCAGGTGGAGTTTGTGCTCATAGAAAAACCTAAAGAAACGCACCTGTATGTTACCTGCTCAGTACAAAACAGCAAGCAGACCCAGTTAGAGCCGAGCTGATGAGCACAGTGGTGGACTAGCTGGTCAGCAGTTACACATCAACATATTTCCCTCAAAAGCTGGTGGGGAACAAAAATAGATGAAGAACAGAGTACCCAGGACAAAGCTACAGCAGCATTTATATTTCCCTACAAAACATATTTAGGAAACATATCGTGGCTGTGCAAACTCTTTTACCCAATGCAAGTATAAATGTTATTTTAAATTAAATATCATTATTGTGTATTTGTATTTATTTTAAATCAGCTGTTTATTGATTTAGTCTTTTAATCTTTGAATGTAATATTTAACAGTCATATAGGAAGTCATATTAATTAAGAGTAGTTTTAATTAAATTATTTAATTTAATTTTAATTAGTGGTTGCAGCACGGCGAGCAGTGACCGTGGGGATAAACTTCATGCCACAGCAACCCTGAACTGGTTAAGCGTAACAGGATGGATGTTTAAATTATTAAACTTCTTGTTGTTGTTGTTTTGTTTTTTTAAAATAAAGGAACACATGAGGAATAAACAGGGGAAATTGTGCACCAACTAAAACTGTGTAAAGTTTTCTACACGCTGTTCTTGAAACTGAAGAACTGATTTTTTTTCTTTCAAAAGATAAAAATACCAAACGACACCTCTCATCAGGCCTCTCGAACTGACACATAGACTTCACCTCTGTGCTGTTTGCACAGTTTTATTCGCCTGCACTGCATTACATGTCGCTTTCCTCACACATTGTCCTCACCTCCTCCATCCTGAGCTACATCATCTTCACCTCACTCTGCAAGGGCCACGACTCGTGACCTTGGGTCACAATTAAAATGTAACTATACTCCTCTGCATCAAAGCCAGATATTGGCAGCAATACTTTTGTTTTTCTTTCCAAAAATAAAGGCACATAAAAAGTTAGTGCTATTGTAGCTAGGATTGCTCCATTATCTCATTACATAAAACTGATAAAAAATCCATCATGGCAGATGTTTCGAGATATAAATATGTGTTTATTTCAAAACCAAGTGTACCTAAATAATGCATGCAAATGTTTCATTTTTATTTCTTAACATATGAAAGTTAGTTGTTGCAATGGAAATCGATGGTCACAAAGGTCTATGATTCCAGTGAAAGGAGATCTAGATGAAAATAATTTAAAGTGTTGGTAAACAAACATGAGCAGGCAGCTAACAAAAATCAGGTGTCTATTTGCACAAGGCTTCAGTATTAGCTTATGGAGTACTATGTGTTCTTGGACTAAGACTACATCAAAACTAACAAGATGTAACCTCCAGGTCTGAAATATGAAACCAATGGCCATTCTTCCTGACAGCCAACGTGAAGTGACTCTTCCTCCTCAGGTTATAAGGAAGTCAAATAAGAAAATGACTCTACTTTCCACTTTACTGATGAGTTTACGGTCCAACTAATCTAGAGTAAAACACATGATAAATCAGCAGATAAAAAGTCGGGCGGCAGTGTGGTTAGCGTGCACAGAGAAACTCAAAGATCTGAAACTGTGACATAGTTGCTGCAGGACAGCAGTTTGACTGGAACCTTACTTTGATGTAGGATTAAAAGCAGAAAACCAGTGGAGTCCTCTTTCGCAAAGAGACGAGACGTAGATGAGTTGCGCTTATTAGCACAGACTGACTCGGATTGAGTGCAACATGTTGACCTTTGCCTACACTTACAAATTAAACAGCAATTGTTTGCAAACCTTCACCAGTCTGAGTGATTACAGTCAGTCCAAGAGAGACCACGATGGTTCGGAGACAGGTTGCCTCCCTCAGACAATTTAGAGTTATCACCCAGAGCTTGAGGATGTCACATGCTGCATGCTCAACCTCTAGGCAACCAGCTGGTTGGCACAAGTACTTGCAATCAGTTGCGAAAAAGGAAATAAATGAATGTGAACACTATTTTTTTGGGCTTTCTCTCAAGTTGTCATTCAACAGGCTGTCATCCTGTTTTCACTCTTGTCAGACTGAACCACGAGTAAACTGTGTTTCTCTGTCTATAACGTACATCGGGTGTTATTCTCTCCTGATATTATCCATCCATCCATCAGACAAGGAGGGGAAGTTAATTGTCACCTTTCTTGGTCAGTAGGAGCTATAGAAATCAATTTCACTTTTTATATACAGAAAAAAATGGCCAGAGCTGCTTGAAAAATCACAATCTAGTAAATGTACTATTGTTACTTAATTAAAGCTAGAAGTAACTCTGATTTACCTTTGCTACTTTTGCTTGTTAGGGACAAATATTTAGGGCTCCCAGACTGATCCAAAAACACATCAGGAAGTGAGATTTCCCATTTGATGACCTTCCCACTCTGAAGAACAGCATTTACCTTATTTACCTTAATGTCCTTTGGAGTTTGGTCACTTTTGTCTCCAAACAAAAAAACAAACAAACAAAAAAACAAACATGATGGAAGAAATGTCAAATGAGTGGCAGCACTAGGGCTGGGCTATATATCGAGTAATTTTAAAAATATCGATATATTTTTATACGAGATATAAGATGTGACAATATCGTTTATATCGATATAGTCTATGTTACGTTATAATTATAGTTGTGGAGCCACAAGTTTGCCTCTCTTTCGTCCACTTTTGTCTTTACGCAACATTACTCGGCCTCGCCTCTCCTTCACTGAACACAACTCCCCCTCCTTCCCCATCGCTTCACCTGGAGGCAGCGACAAGATGGACACGGCAAATCTCCGTTAACGAGTTACTGCGCATCGCCCCGTGCGTGGGGCTGGACGGCACCAAATTGTTAACGAGCTAACCACGCTAACGAGCTAAGCCTAAAATCCTTTCATTCTCTCAAAAGTCGACAGCGCACCTTATGTATGAATTCTGGTTGTGCTTACTGACCGTGAACCGATTGTATGTGGAACACGGCGCTCAGCAATCTGTCAAAAAATGTTTTAGTTCGACTTTGGTAAGCTACTGAGCTGCACCGCTTGATGGATTGTCGGAACATTACGGCTAACGTAGTCTGGAGCCTAATACGTAGGCTCCAGACTACTAATACGTAATACGTACTGTGCTTCAACGTAATATTACCGTATTGTGTGTGTATAAGGACCATAAATGGCACCTGTTCAGAGACACGGTTACAAAGAGGATTTCAAACTCCAGGCTGTCAGTCAGGCAGTAGAAGTTGGGAACAGAGCAGCTGTGAAATCTGTCTCTTTGTTATTGTGCTCGGCGTCTGTTAGTTTGCATTTTGACTGCACAATTGTGAGCTCTTTGTTATGCACAAAAACAACATAGTTTTCTTTTATTTATGGAGCATTATTATTTAATAAATGCTCATAATTTATTTTTGAGTAGTTTTTTTCATGTACATCTATGCTGTATGTTAATAAAAGTGCCTGTGTGACATCTGGGACACAGCTTTGACTAAGAACTCTCTTTTTGTTCTTACGTTATGGCTTTAAAAAAAATCGAGATATATATCTTATATTGCCGTCCGGCTAAAAAATATCGAGATATGAATTTTGGGTTATATCGCCCAGCCCTGGGCAGCACATTAAGTCCATCTTTTATATACAACGTGAGTTTACCTTTCCTTGTCTTTCTGTAAAAGGAGACTTAAACGCTGCTACTCTGTGCAGGATTAAAACCTCAGACTCGAAATATTCAGCAACACACATCTTTGTTTGTGTGAGGATTTTTGTGTGGTTTTTTTTTTCATGTAAACACTCACCGCTAATCCACTTGGCCTCAGGGTCGTGAATGCTGAACTCTGGTTTGTAAAGATCTGCTACAGTCAGCCTGGACTTGCTGCTGCCGGGAAGTTCAACTGGAAAACAAATAAATGGGTGAACTCCAGGTTACAGTGAGAGATTCATCCAACGCAGAGCTGCAGATTATAAGTGTCTTATAAAGCATATTCATGTACTTCTGACAAACACATATTTGCATGGTTTAGAAAGCTAGAAACATCATCCTGTCTCTCTCCACAGGCTGACATACCGGGTGTGAGGACGACCACAGACATGGTGATGAGCGAGCAGACCACCACGATCACCAGCAAAGAGATTGCAATGCCCTTCCAGTTCCTCTGCGGAGGGCTGACGTCCACATACTCCTGCAAACACAGAAAGTCAGAAACAAACACTAATCATCAGAAACTGTGCCTCTGTGTGTGAGTCACTCGAACACTGCGAGAATTCATCTGCAGTCCTAACAGCCTCTACGCTCGCTGTGGGATTTTGCTCTCATTCAGTCAGAAGTGATGCTGTTTAATGCGGTCCAGCTTGCACTTCATCCCAGAGGTGTTGCATGTGGCTGAGTTTGAATTTATGTGTAACTTCTTCCAGACCAAACTAGGAAAACTTTTTTTACACGGCGCTGACAATAAAATATCATCCCAGTACTGATATAAAGAAATGGGCTCTGCAAGACCTGTGAAGGTGTCTTATGACATCTGGCACCAGCTGGCAGCTCACTGTGAGTTGGAGGTGCTGTGGACCAGTTAGGGATTTGCCCTGAAGCTCCCCACAAGCCTCAACCACACACACAACTCTTAACTTAATACAGTTACTTTTGATCATTCTGAAAAATGGGATACTTTGTATAAAAATGGCTGTAATTTCTAAACAGTTAATTCAAAAGTGTCATTAAACCACTTAAATTAAAGCTGAAGGTTTCCACGTCAGTCACATCTTGAGTGTTTTAAACTCTGCTGTGTTGGTGTACAGAAGGAAAAATACAAAAATTGTACCTTTCTCCAGCAAAATAAATTTTGATGCTTCATTTTAATTACATTTTATTTATATAGCGACACATTACAACAACAGTTAGCTCAAGGTGCTTTATATCGTAAGGTGAAGACTCTACAATAATACAGAGAAAATAGAGAAACCCACCAATCAGACGAGCCCCTATCAGCAAGCTCTTTGGTGACAGTGGGAAGGAAAAACTCCCTTTTAACAGGAAGAAACCTCCGGCAGAGCCAGGCTCAGGGAGGTACAGCCATCTGCCACTGGTGTGGGGTGAGGAAAGGAAGACAGGACAAAGAAACCTTGGCCATTTCACTCTAACTAAATGATGGACAGAAAATTGTGGCTCTGCTGTAACAACCCGTTCTCACTCCCAAAGCGTAACATTTTACGCTAGGTGACAAATCGTCACCATATTACGTTTTCAGCTACCCACCACGTTCCTAAATGACGACCTCGGAAAACAGAGGAAATATGAGAACCCTCTGGACTGAATCTACACATGTTCGCTCTTTTTCTTCAAATCGCTTAGAAACACGCTATTTGACATCATTAAAGTCCTGGTTAAGGTCAGGAAAAAGGTTATGGTTAGGGCTAGGGATAAGGTTAGGTTTAGGGCTGGAATACAGGGCTGGAACGTCTATTACCGCGGGAGCGTCATTGCACTGGATTCCAGCCATAACCCGCCGCGTACCCTAAGAACGCCGAAGGTCTCCTTTCGCGTTCCTCAGGAACGCCGCGGGACGTGACAAAACGTCGACATGTTACGCCTCGGGAGTGAGAACGCTCTGGCTGTAATCTGTGCTCTCTTTCAAAATGAGAGAGGAAATAAAGGCTCACTGAATTTGATGCTGTGGTGTTCACACTGAACATCTACAGGACGTTTGGGACTGAGATGCTTGAGCGTGCTCCAACCACCATCATAAAAAGATCAAACATAGCAGAGAGAGACTGCATAGGCTTAAAAATCATGTATGAACTGAGCCCTGGGTCCAGATTACTGTGTGATACTTGCTGTAGAGCAGGGGTGTCAAACTCAAATACACAGTGGGCCAAAATTCAAAATGGAACAAAGTCGCGAGCTAACGTTAATATTTATTGAAAAAAAAAATCTTCCTCCAGATATAAGAATGAATCTTTTCTTATGGACTCAAACAAGTTTAGCTGAAAAACTGAATATGGAACAAGCAAAGCTTAATATTAAACAATATATATATTAGCTGTATAATACCAGTAGGCCAGCTCTGATAGTAATTTGGTATGGCTTCGCGGCCTAATTTGGCCCACGGGCCAGAGTTTGACACCTATGCTGTAGAGCATTAACAATACATCTCCAGGTTTCAATTACATTTTAATTTAATATGAATTTGTGAAGTTAACACAAAATTTCCAGAGCACTGAAGCTGATTTAATAGCTAACTCCTTGTTTTGCTACCTTTGAGCTTGGTACTAGCAGCCAGTTTTCAGATTCTTCTTCTTTTTTCTTTTTTAAAGTTTTTTGAAAGTGAAGCTTAGCCCCCTGAGCATTTCCCATTTTTTGATTTTAACCAGGAAAAAATATATAAGTTCAGTCAGTAAGAGCTCCACAACTTTGAGGCCTTAATGAACAGCCTCAGGCTCTATGGATCTGAGACACCTGGGAGAACTTAGAAATACAATAAGTTTCCTTGTCTTCATCACAGGGCCAGAGTGAGATTTGTAAAAGTCCACTGAGCGCTCATTGTTCTGAAAAATTCATCACCTGCAACTCCACCAAATCTATCAAAGCTTCGTCCTTTATACAGCTGCACTGTGACTAACACCAGTGTGACGCGTGATGTAGGGCACCTCTGATATCCTGTAGTGGAGACTTGAAAATGAAAATCATTTGCACATTCACTGATTCTGTGACTTTTGTGACTGTGTGTTTGAGATCTTCTGAGATCTAATGTACGATTTGCAAACGGCGGCAAAAAGACAGGATGCAGAGCTGAAGATGAAAAGTGATAAGGATGGACAGGATCAGAAATGAGTATATAGAGGGCAGAGGAAGGATAGTGGATATACTGGGAAAAGGATCCTTAAGACAGAGCTGCCAGGCAGAGGAGTTTGATGGCTCTAGTGAAGCAGGACATGCAGAGGTGGTGTGGCAGAGGTGAGATAAGGTGAGATAGCACTAGATGATCTGCTGTGGCGACCTCTAAGGGGAGAGGTCAATTTAAGAACTTCAAGGTAGGTAGCTGAACTTTTTTATAAATGAGAAAAATCATGGAAGACAAACTTTGATATTGTTTTTTTTAATCAAAGAAATTTGGTTGATTATTCCTTTGTTGTAACAATACTACCTGTCTTTTTATGCGGTTGGAAAGCCTGTTTCTTTCCCCTTAAGTTGTGCCACTGTTACGTGCCAAGAGGTGTGGCTTTGCTTTTGTGTTCTATTTATCTTTCAGGTGTCAAGCCTCCACCTATTGGCCAGTTCGAAGTGATTGGCATTGGCCAATCACACGCCGAGGATTACTACAAATGAGCTGCTCCCTGGCCAGCTGGTGGCTGCTGGCTTCTGCTATGACAAACATTTGCGAACAGGCTTCTTTATATTATGTGTGGTGGGAGGCTGGACAGGTAAGCTGGGGTACCTATACACTGATTGCAGGCGTTAAACTGTTAGACACACTAGGGTATGCGGTTGATGCCACTTTTGTATGTTTTCACTGACCTTTTGTCAAGCAGCTGGGTAGGCCTTTTGTTTTGCATTTTTGTTTTAGTTAGGCCCTGGGAGCTCTCGCCCTCTTTTTGTTTTAGTACTTTCTGGTAATAAAACCAGAAAGTAATAAAACTGGTAACAAACTACGCTGTAATGGACTAAAATCTTGCAGTACCATAAGGTACTGCTTGCCCACAACCACACCAGCAAAGAGTACTCGCGCATGCTGCCCACTCTGTGACCTACCTTCACGCGACCAATAGAAACAAGGCGTACAGCCGGGCTAAGCTCAACCACACAAGGAACTTTATGACACAAGTTTACGTGCATATGGACCTCCGGAGCCCTTGAGTAAATCATTCCATTCAACACATTGGCTTCAGAGGCCACAGAAAATCTGTGGAGAGGTTAGGTTTCACACTGTTATGTTTAACACTTCCCTAATAATGCAGAACCAGGTACAGTCGGGTCAAGTGTGATAATGAACACCTGTTGGTGCACACTCAATGCTGAGAGGCACCTGCTCTTCATCAGCTCCATTGTTTTCCTCATGACAGGGCACACAAACAAAAAGTCACATAGTACAGTGAGTTACTGAGGACAGGTGATCATATTTTTATTTTTATACATATTTTACATGTAACCGTTGGTCAAGAAAGGCTTGAACTACTGGCTAAAAGGAAATTGAAACATGCAATAAGCAGAAGAGACGCAAAATGTGTCAAACGGAGACAAAAACTACTGCAATAAAAAACAAAAAGATACAGAGAATATCTACAAAAACAAAACTGTTCAAAAACTAAAATGAGATATAAAACACAAGCAAAGATGCAACAAAAACAAAACTGTGTCACACAATCACACAACGAGATTTAAAACTAAACAAGGGAAAAAACATGCAGAGTGGTACAAAATCAGGTAAAATATCAGCAGGCTACAGAGTCAGAGACACAAAGCAAACAGAAATCATATCTGCATGTACTTATGAACTACTGTTTCATAATCTGTGTCCTGTACAACAGAGTCTGAACCTGTGCCAAACATGTTTGCTTTGCCAGGAGGAGCTCCTCTTGTTAGTCTTATTCTTTTAATGTGATTGTTATTGCTTTATTTATTATCATTATCGACATAAATGTACATATTGTGTAACAAAGAAAGAAGTAGCGCAATAATGAGGAAAAAAGGAGGATAAGCGCATCGGCTCACCGACTCCTGCTACTCTAACACCTGAATGAAGATACACGAGTAAATACACAAGCTTACTGTGCCGGTGTGTGTGTGTATGGATGAGAAGCTTCCAGCATACTGCAAATGAATACATTATAAAAACTAATATAACTTGGATAATTGGTATCCAGCTGTTTTAATACGGATTTGTGTGTGAATCACTTCTTTGTAAAATGAAATGACTGAATAAAAAAGAAAGAAAAATGCAGGTCATCCAGCACACAACATGGATCAGTCTGTAAAATAATGATGTGGGAAGAACAGTCCCTTTATTTCCTCCTATTGTTCGGAGTGCATTTAGAAAACATTAGAAGGAATTCACTATTTTTAATGGAAGCGAGATATAAAAATAGAGCAGACTCGCCGGCGTTCATCTCCAGCATCAGTCAGGATTGAATTTTGACTTTTACGGTCATATAACACTCCCGTCGTCTAGACAGAGTG